CCGCGGGGACCCAATTTTATTCATATAATGTAGTCCTAGTTTTAGTTTCTAATATTTTAGCATTTATTGTACCTGTGTTTTCACAAATAAATGAAATATGATCCGATAAAATGTTTTCATTACCAATGCAATAAATAATTATTGTAAAACCGCACTATTGACACTGAACTTCCTTTGTAGAAGTAACTACTTCAAAACTGGAATACATAACAGAGAACACAATGAGCATCCAAAATGATAAATGTTTCAAATCCATTTTTATCAAAACACGATTATCTGATTGAACGCGATTTTCACGGAGTCTCCAGTACTATATTTCGAAATATTCTATTTTTAACTATAAATGTACAGGTACATTCACATGCACTTTATGTTCAAAAATAAACCGTATTATCATAAATTAATGTTAATTAAAATCGTAAAGTATGTAATATACTTATAATTCGTCCACAGATCAAATACTGGTAGGCACCTACGTCGTTATATTATATATGTTGTTGTATATTGTAGTTACTAATAAAGGCTTAATCTCAATCCAATAAAATATTATAGATATAAATCGCGATTCCTACCCATAGAGGTTGAACTTTAATTCATAATGAGTAATATTATAAACCAGATAACAGATGTGAAACAATGCAAAAACTGTTTTATAAATATAAAACAGTTTTTGCATTGTTTCGCTTGTTTTTTCTGTCTTCATCTGTTTTTTTTTTATCAAATTATATTAGAAGTAATATTGCTAGAATTTAAGTTCAAATTTTAAATCGTTATTGACAATATTTTACAATCTCTTTTTGATTGTCATGTTTATTATTTTAAAAAAAATATAGAGTATTAACGTTAGACTATGTTTTTTTCCATGCTCTAAGGGAATTAGCCTTAGAGAATGGAAAAATAACGCATAAAGCTGTATAAAACGTTGACTTCAGCCACCTACGTACAAATTCGTAAAAAGAGATTGCAATAATCTAATTTGTTTTATGTAATTCTATTACGGGTCGAAATAATACAACCAGGAACTTTTTAAATTTTATTAAAGTTTGTACAACAAACAGATACAATTTGGTAATGCTTAAAGTTACACTATCTTATTTCTACCTACCCTTACTTCTAAACTGTTTATTGATGAATATTGAGAGACTCGTGTGCAGCGTGCGGCAGTTGTTCGTGGGCCACTGGGTGTTCGAGTGTACTCTGCAGCTCGTGGGCCTCGCGATGTTCGTCAACGCCGCGGTAACCGATGTGCGCGCTCGTCGCCGCCGCTGCACTTGCGCCATATGGCTGCTGCGCATGAGTTTGCACTATTCTCCCAGAAACTATTGTCGGCGAACAGCTCAGCAACAGAGGCACACTACATCCTCCAGTGCTTCCAGCCGGAAATACGCCGATTGACGGTGCAGCCGCCGCCGCTGGGGACAGTAACTGTCCGCCTACACCTGATAATGCAGCTCCGCTGGCTATACTTGCCGGCGCCACAGCGTACGGACCCGCTACAGGGGTACCATAACCGTACCGCGCCATTGGAATATGCTCAGACATCATATGGTCCATGTCCGAGACCTGCATCATTTCGTGTTGTTCGTCTGCATCTCGATATTGTGGAATGCCGTAGCCAAAACCATTTGGCGTAATTGCCGCAGAGTGATGCAGAGCTGGAGCAAGGTTTACTTGATAGGCGGCAGCGGGAGCGACAGCGGGCAACGACGCGTAAGCTGGGATTCCAGCCGAGGCACACGGAGCGGGCGCGTAGAACGCGGGTGGATAACTCGAACGTTTGTCTCGATAGAATTGTTGTTGCTGTTCTGGAATTGGAGAGTCCTGTGGTAACTGGCCTTGAATTAAAGCGGGCGCCGCCGTTACTACTGTGGTCAAAATCGCGAACACACACGCTAATATCACTGCCATCATTTTGGAACGTAATTCTGCAACTGCGGTGTTAAGCATTTGACAGCGCACTAATATTTATACATTATTTCGCAACCAATTTTGAATACATAAAGAACGCAAACCTACCAATTTTGCAAACCTACTTACTTTAATCTACTTAATCGACCGAGATTTTTCTGCTTACTCGGGTTTTTCGTCCCGAGTTTTAATACTACACGGAATGCTACATTACCATTAAAATATTATATCGATATTTTCAGAAAAGTAAGGTATTTGACATGTAGGGGATCCAAGTTTAAACAAAATATTGTCTGTGTGATCATAAAAGATTATGTGTGTATAAACGTTGTGAACAGTTGCAACACTCAAACAAACCTATTAGGTTTAAGAGTGCCAAGTACCTAAATACCAAATATTGTATTATAAGTAAATAAATTAAATAATAATAAAGTAAAACTGTAATTTATAAAGAAACACCTTCGAAACATCACACACGAAGACAGGGTAAAATTTATCCGACTTAATACCACGAAGAAGCAACACTAATATCATTAAATTGAAGATCAGACCACTCTGTAAACCAATACTAGTAGGCAGGGCTATGCGAAATCAACAATAATAAATGACGAAAACGTTTTCTGTTTGTGTGATATTTGTATTCATAATTATAATAGTAAATTAAATAATAAGATTAACGTCACACTCATAGCCTCGCACTATGGAAAGCCTGGGTCGCGAGTGCCATGGACACACACATAGTCAACCAGAAATGACTCCCAAACTCACGAGGGAAGTAAAATGTAAGCCATACAAATATTTCTCCTGGCGCGGAAAAATCGAACCCGGGACCTCGACGTCGCAGACCAGCAGCATGATAACCATTCGGCCACGGAAGCAGTTGAATACAATGAAGCCTGATTCTTCCGAGTTTACTGATCGCATTCTTTTAAGTTTTACATTGTTTAAAACACAGTTATAGAACATTCTTTTTCAACTATTAACATTTTTATCAAAGTTTTTACTTGTCTAAATGGTTTTATAAAGACAAGTGGAGAATAAGTTCTTGACACGACAATTTAATGCAAATGGTACATTATCTCCTCTGTAACCTCAACCAATTGTGATAAATGAGAATTCGAAGAAATAATAATTAATGTGAGGCACTTGGAGGCGCTACATATTTTACTTACTTAATTCTGTTGAAAATAGACGCAGTTCCCGTCAATATTTCTGTGTTACCATACAAAAAACATCGACGGCATTCTTGTATTAATATGCATATAACATAAATTATAAATAAACTAAAACGTAGATCAAATTAAAGTTTGTTGACGAGTAAGTAACATGCCATTACCATTTTATATAGAAATTTAGAAAGTTTTTCAAAACGTACTTACAGGGACAATCCTGAACCAAAATGCATTTCTTGGAATATTCGTCTTTTATAAACCCTGCGGAACACCGGCAACCCACATTACATTCCCATCTGTATGGACACCACACACCTACAGTGTTCATTAATATCAAATTCACACAAGTGGGTGGACATTTCCAGTCGCATAACGAAAATTCCTGATTTTCCTGAGTACATATTGATGTCCTAGAACTGTATAGTACGTGTAAATGCGATAGAAAAACAGCATGCGCCAATGTATCGCCTAAGCCCATTGTAGAGTCAGTATTCTATGCTCTGTATTTTACACGTGATTTTTATGGGCACATAAAATTTTCATTGATCTAACGATTATAATAATAAAAAAGTAAGAATTTATTGCTTGGAAATTTTATTCCCAAGTAAAAATATAGATATATTTTTTTACGTCGGACTCGTATCCATTGAAACCTGACGGTGTTTCGCCTAGCTTCTGGTGGGAACGCGGGGAACGCAATTGCACGTTACCGCGAACCCACTAGTGGCTGCCGTCTCCGGCACCACCTTCGGAGACTACTTAACAAGTCTCTTCCTAACTAAGTTTAACGTAACCACTTACCATTCAACCTTGCAATATATTGGGGTACCTGATAAATATATGAATTGTTCATCTCATTGTAATTAATAGATAATGAAATTCCATTAGACTGAACAATGGTAGGCTGAACAAAGTTTGTATTAGTACAAAAGGTTTTGGTTTTTCACATGAAAAATAACCTAATTTAAAAGGTCATCAATACTACTATATTTTAGTTGTGTGTACCATGAACCACGTATAGGACTACTTACGAGTACAAATATGCTCCATTCGTGCCCGTAAATAGTCCCGTACACCTACAATTGTAAATTGGAATGCGTTGTGCAATTAGCGAGAAATAAACTGCATAATATACAAAATGTTGTATATATTTCACAACCATGACGACAATCGTCTTTGCCAGCAACAATGTTGATCTTTGCATTTTACGCTACACATAATATCCGACATCAATATTTTATGTTTCCTGTTTATATTTCCACATCTTAATTGTAACATCATTGTGAGTACCAATTATGTTTTTCTAAAGCGTCGTTTAAAAGCTTTATGGGACATACTAACAGGGAAAGGCAGCACCATATACTGTATATTTTGATTATTATGTATTCGAATAATAACATATAAATATAAATTTAGATCACATTGATCACTGTCATCAACTCAAAGAGTCGCAGTAGAGCTCCTTGTGAAAGAGTTCGTCCAGGGAAGTACTGCTGCCACTTTACATATTTGTGCCGCCATGCAATAATATTAGCATTACTGTGTTCCGGTTTTGAAGTGCAAAGCTGGTGAAATTACAGGCACATGGGACTTGTCAACTTATGTCTCAAGGTATAGGGCGCAGAGGCATTGCCCCTCAGTTCTTTGCAACTGTTATGGACAGGCGTGTAGCTTAAAATCAGGCGCACGACTAGTTCATCCCGTCACTTGATATTATAGAAAAAGTCCCCCAGGTGTTCTCTTAAAATTGCATTAAACTGTGAAAAATGTATAAATTATTATTATTGAAAATATTAATAATTGAAAATGTTACTTCACAATATTTCTATAGCAAATGATCCCCTTTATGGGGAAAGTCTAACGGAATATTATAGGCTTAATATATTCCACACAATCAGTGAAATAATATATTGTAGGTTTAACATCTGTAACGACAAGTTTATGATTTTCATCACAATCATTTGCGTAACTTTCTTCGTAAGAACGTGATGTTATGCAGTAAAACAACGTGTCAAATCTCAAGTATATTCTCATCAAGACATGATTAATTAAGGTAACTTTTATCTTAAATACCGATTTCATGCGTTTCCATGATAAACTCGTAGAGTATAAATGGAGATGTTTGGTTTTCAATTTATTCAATAATCCCAGTTCTGTTCATTCGACATGAGAAAATTCAGGGCTCTACTTTTGGCCCTAGCCTTTAACCTTGCTAAAGGCCACGGTGCTTACTGGGGGACTCCGAACCATCTCCATCCAGTTCACGAGCTCTACATCAAACCTTCAACGGATGGAACTACAGGTGACTTGTATGTGGCTGCCACCGAAGAGAACGGCGTGAAAGCGCAATGGCTGACTGACCAGCCTGTGAACTTCTTGCCAACTCCAGCGGCTCAACACGCAGCTCTGCCGATATCATATTTATCTAGCCTTACTGCAGCTGCTTTGCCACACGACGAATCCGTTGCAGCGCCACAAAAACGCGCTGTACTGACCAACCCAGCTATAAAATACACCTATGCCCTACCCGTGTCAGGCTCTCCTGAAGGCAGCACGGTTCCATACCCCTACGCTTTACCATCGGCACCAGTAACTACTGCCACTTCAAGTGAAAGCTCAACAGAATGCTCAGACAATCCGACTACCTCTGTTGCATACCCGCATTATTCGTCCTTCTACTACCCGCAAATGATGGCAGCATTTGCACACGCAATGAGCAGTGCTCTCAAGGAAGCAGGAGCTACGAGTGAAACAGGGACATCGACAGCACAAGCAGTCCAACCTGCTGCCATGTGGCCCTACGCGTACCCATACCCGGTGCAATATGTAATGATGGACCCCAATGCATGGGCTCAGAGCCAAACCACCGCTGCCCCTGCAACACAGCCCACTACAACTGCAAGTCCTCCAGCTGCTTCTGAAGAAACTGTATAGATATCTGTTATTGTATTTATTTATTTAATTTTTCCTTTTTCCATCTATTAAATAAAATTAAGTGCACATCGTTTTTAAGCGTACTTTCAAATCTACAAATTAAGATTATTTATTTATTTAATGAACATTAGAAGAGCCTTCAGCTTTTAACGTAATAAAATGTGGGTACTTAAACTAAAAATTAATTCGTGTAAGAACTATATACAAAAACCTGCCATTTTTAACGGCTATGATTGTTATTTATTGACAAATAACACAAAAGGAAATACACTTAAAAAAATCTATAGTTAACTACAAAAATCCGCATTTTTTTCGTTTATAGTGGATTTTTTTATGTATTATAATAATAATAATACTAAATACTAATAATATTCGCTCACACACACTCAACATAGTCCCGCACTAGGGAAACCCTGTGTCGCGGGTGCCATGAACACCCATAGACAACCACAAATTACACCCCAAACTCACGAAAGAAATAAATGTAGGCCATAAAAATATTTTTTCCCGGCCCGGGAATCGAACCTGAGACGACTTCGTGGCAGTCCGGCATGGTAAGCGTTCGGCCACAGAGGCAGTTATTGAACTTTAACTGAACTGAATTTTTATTAATTTAATGGTTACGATTTTTATTTATTTATTGAACATTGGAAAGCCATCAGCTTAAACATGTAAGAAATAAAAGAAACTCAAAACGTAACAAAACATAAAAAATGTAATAATAAAATCTTACAGATTTTATTATTAAATTTTTTATGTTTTCAAATCACCCCGTAAACCTTAGGGCGCGTTCCCACTATGTCGTCACGTTTTATTATCGTTAGACGACTGTCGTGTCTAGCCTGTTCCCATATCACGACTGTCTGTCGTGGACGATTTTTCCGTTGAACGACTGTCCTAACTAGATGTTCCCACTAGACCGTGACGACAAATTATCGTTTCACGACAGCCTCCTTGTCGTTTGCACGACATAATCGTTTGATGCACTGCAGTTGCTTGTATGTTCTTTTGGAAGCCGGTAATATGTGTTCGCTCGAAATGGATGAAAACGAAATTTTAATAATGTATTACTTGTTAATAATGCGGAAGAGGAAGCAAACAAAGAAAAGAAAGTTTTGGGTAGATCCAATGCTACTAAAAAGAATTCCATTAGGGTTATGTCAAACGGTATACAAAGTTGCTTTCTTTTCGGTATTGTAAAAACCTGGGGGTCTACTCTCGATCTCCGTCCGAAACAATTACTGCCAAAAAAGCAATACTTGACCAAATGAAAAGACGCGTGATGCGAATGAATCTTCATACTTATTTGACAATAATTGTTTCGGACGGAGATCGAGAGTAGACCCCCTGCTACGACCAGAGATGGGCAGTGAGTTAAAACCCAATCAACCCACCCGTGTTTTCACCAGGGTTATACCCGAAGCGCCGAGTTTTAACCCATTTCTGCCCAAAATCGAGGGCAGAAACGAAGAGTACAGAATTTGGTATAATTCCAACACTAACAACATAATATATAATGACTTGTAACAAATTTCTATGTTTTTATTACATGAAGAAGAGGCATCTCCACATAATACCCACCACCTGTCAATCCTGTGGATTGTCAGTGAAGATCGATTCAAGTGCATACGATCTAACGATTTTTATATTATTATTATTACTATTTATTTATTTGTTGAGCATTGGCTATATGGCTTTAAAGCCATCTGCTTAAACAAGCAACAAACTTTAATCCTTTGGTTAGGTTTTTTATTATATATTTTTATACTTTTTTCAACAAAATTATGAGAAGAACTAATACTGAAAAAAGAGCGCTATACAATAATCGATGTAGCTTTTTTATTTGGATCTATGCAACATCGCCTCAAAGATTCGCTCTGGACCTTTTGGAGGGAAAAGTGTCGTTTTTATTTTGACTTTCAATAATTTTGTGAAATCTAGTTTAAAGTGGAATAGGATAGTGCTATTGTACCTTAATCGGAGATTAAAACGCGAAATTATACGAATCTCGAACTAAAATACCCATATCGGCCCGTTTTAAGGAATCCCGAGTCAATCCAAGCACGCCGCCTCAAATTGCCTATCCTCTTTATGGCGGCCATATTTACAGAAACATAATTAAACTTCATGTTTAGGCTGATGGCTTTGCCAGAGCCTTAATAAATTAAAAAAGAAACATCGGCTCAAAATGTCTTTTTTTGGATTCGCTCTGGACCTTTTGGAGGGAAAAGTGTCGTTTTTATTTTGACTTTCAATTATTTTGTGAAATCTCGTTTAAAGTGGAATAGGATAGTGCTATTGTGCCTTAATCGAAGATTAAAACGCGAAATTATACGAATCTCGAACTAAAATACCATTATCGGCCCGTTTAAAGGAATCCCGAGTCAATCCAAGCACGCCGCCTCAAATTACCTATCCTTTTTGTGGCGGCCATACAATATTTAAACTTCATGTTTAGGCTGATGGCTTTGCCAAAGCCTTAATAAAAAAAATTAAAAAAATTTCTTTTTTTGACAGTTGATGTGCGATGTGCGTATTGTGGTATAATTTTAATGAAAAACAATAGTTTTTCTAATAATTTCACCCAAAAAGCATATATTAAGCTATATTTAACAATATAATACAATAGATTAAAATGGTTTCTAAGAAAAAGAAAAAGGTATGTGTCAAAATTTCTGTTCTTAACACTCCCAACACGTGTTTACATACTAACCAAAAATATTTCATTGCAGTATTCATCTGGAGAAGGTGCGCAGTTTATGACCAGAAAAGCTGCGCTTAAAAAGTTACAATTGTCTTTAAAAGATTTCAGGCGTATTTGTATTCTAAAAGGCATTTACCCCAGAGAACCTCGGAATCGAAAGAGAGCTCAAAAAGGCCAGGGTGGCATCAAAACACTTTATCATACCAAGGATATAAAATTTCTTCTACACGAACCTATAATTTGGAAACTCAGAGAGTTAAAGGTTAATTCTAAATTGTACTATTGGTTTTGCTATATAATGAATAACTGGCAATAATGTGCTAATCTGATATTATTTTATTATAGGTATATCAACAACGTATCCGCAAAGCAAGAGCAATGCGAGAATATCGAAAGATGAGAAAGTACTTACGTGATTACCCAGAAATCAACATTGACCATATAGTGAAGGAGCGCTACCCAACTTTTGTTGATGCACTAAGAGACTTGGATGACTGTCTAACTCTTTGTTTCCTGTTCAGCACCTTCCCTTCACTCAAAAGAGTTCCCAGAGATCAGTCAATGCTGTGTAGACGACTTACTGTAGAGTTCATGCATGCTGTAATTGCAGCTAAAGCACTCCGCAAAGTATTTGTGTCAGTCAAAGGATATTATTATCAAGCTGAGCTTGAAGGACAGACTATAACTTGGATAACACCACACCACTTTTCATTCCAGGTGAGTGTTTATCTCAATATTTTGAACTCGAAATAAAATATGTTATTTTGTATATTGATAATTAAGAAATTAAAGTAGACTTAATAATCATCATCAAATTTCAATTATCATTTAAATATACTTCCTACTTTTCAGCCACAAAATAAAGACGAAGTAGACTTCAAAATTATGTCAACATTTGTAGAATTCTATACCATGATGCTTGGTTTTGTGAATTTCAAATTATTCCATTCGCTTAATCTGGTGTACCCTCCAAAATTAAATGCAAGTCTCTCGACAGACTGTGAGTTAGACCTTGTTGATGAACAATCCTATGTTTCGGAGCGAATAGCAGCCTTGAACATGTCTCTCGCTAAAATTGAAGGAGCGAATGAGGCAGAAGAACTGCCTGATCTTGACATTTTTAATGCAGAAGATGAAGACCCTCAAAAGTTAGAAAACGCAAAGCTGGAAGCAGAGAAAGTTAAGAAACTGAAAACCCTTTTCAAAGGCCTGAAGTTCTTCATCAACAGAGAAGTACCTAGGGAACCTCTAGTTTTCATTATCAGGTGCTTTGGTGGAGAAGTGTCATGGGACAGAGACCTTTTTGTGGGAGCCACCTTTGATGAGTCTGATGAAAGTATTTCATACCAAATTGTGGACCGGCCCAATGTAGACAAGCAGTATCTTTCCCGTTACTATGTGCAACCCCAATGGGTCTTTGACAGTGTCAATACAAGAAATTTGCTGCCCATCAACAAGTATTTGATGGGTGCTGTCCTTCCTCCACATCTTTCTCCATTTGTGGATGAAACTAAAGATCAAGTGTACATGCCTCCTGAGGAGAGAGAACTTAATGATCCTAACTTCAAACCTCTAGGTCGGTATAACAAACTTCAGCAAAGTAAAAACATCCTGTTTTGAAGTTTTATTCCCAATTTTCAAGAAACAATTATTTGTAGCAATTAAACTCAAAAGAAATTGTTAATATGTAATGTTCTTTGGCAGATGATGATGACTCAAACAGTGAAGTTGAAGAAGCTAGTGATGAAAACAAAGAACAGAATGAGGAACAGGACTCTGATGTTGATGGGGATGATGTCCTCACTCGCCAATACCAGCAAGAGGTCCAGGAGGATTCGCCTTCTGAAGATGATGATGATGATCAGAATGAATTAAATGCTGAGAAAAAGAAAATGTCCAAGGAAAAGGTAAAAATAATTTTGTTATCTTTGCTTAATTTAGATTGTCAGCACATTTGATACTGATAGCTTTTGATTCACACTTTAACATCACATATTTATAAATTTACAGAAAAAGGCAATGGCTGTAACAACAGGTGTGCCTTTTAAAGAGAACCCTTACCAAAAGCAGATTGAAGACAAGCAGGCATTCAGACTTCGAGAGAAGCTTGTTCGGAAAAAGCATCGCAATCTCTATAAGAGCATGAAAGCAGGCAGGGAAGAACGAAGGAAAGAAATCTGGCTACTAAATAAGAAGAGGAAACTTCATGATGCTAAGGTTATAGAAGAAAAAAAGGCCCAAAAACAAAAGCAAAAATTGCAAGCTTTTGAGGCTGCAACTGCTTAAATTAGATCCTAAATAAAACCCTGTACTTGTATAACAATTGTTTTATTTTTCGTCCATATTTACAAAAATCCATAAACATTCATTATAAGATATAAATTATTACTCTGAGCAAATATGGTAATGGAATTTTTGTCCCAGAGATTCATCAGTAAAATTAAAAGTAAAAGTTTCACATTTTGCATTATACAATATACATATCTCACTTATTTAGCATACTGTAACTGTTTAATGAAATGTACACCTCAAATAATTTATTATTCTTCCTGCCAATTTGTACACACAGTTACGTGAGGCATAAAATTCCCTAATGCTTAATGTTCATGATAAATGGAGTATTGGTTTCGGGATTCATAAGCACATTGTCTGTTAATCTGAATCAGATTCGCTGCCTTGTTCTGCATCACTATCTTCCAGTTCTGGCATTGGAAAGCGAAGTATAGCTGCTATACCTGTCAGTTGATCCAATTCTGTAGGAAGATAAAATTTTGTAAGTCAACTGTGTGTATTACAAATTATTGCAGTAATTTAAAAATTACTGCAATAATTTTAGCGATTGCAGTAATTTAAAAATTACTGCAATCGCTAAACTATTGTTTGCACTTAGAAATGCGTTGTTGCCTTTATTATGCCTTACGCATTAAAATGCTACTTATTGAATGAGATGACTAGAATAAAGGTACAAGTAAAATCCACTGAATCGGCCCTGCATGCCGTTGTGGGCAAGATAGAAGTGGCCCTTAAAGACAAAGCAATCTGCCTAGGCACCTTTATAGATATTGAAGGAGCCTTCGATAAAACCAACTTCTCCAGCATACAATCAGCAATGAGAAGACACAAAGTAGATGAAGTGCTAATTAGCTGGATTAGCAACATGCTGAAACAAAGAACAATAAAAACAACAGCAAATGAGACCCCATGGGCCATAGTAGCGAAGGGGTGCCCTCAGGGAGGAGTATTGTCGCCTCTGCTGTGGAACATGGTCGTAAATGACCATTAAACTCAACAAAGAACATTTCTATACAGTATATGTTGATGACATAGCTATACTGGTAACTGGAATCTATGCCAATACACTCTGCGACATTACACAAGCTGCTCTCCGAATTGTGGAAAGATGGTGCAGATCACATGAACTATCGGTAAACCCAACAAAGACGGAACTAGTAATGTTTACAAACAAACGACTACTAGGTAACTACCGATTACCCAAACTCTTCAGCACAGAACTACAGATATCAACCGAAGTCAAGTACTTGGGAGTAATACTGGACAACAAGTTGAACTGGAACAAACATCTGGACAACAAAATTAAAAAAGTTACTATCACCTTCTGGCAGTGCCGTAGAATGGTGGGTAAACAATGGGGACTTTCACCCAAGATAACACTATGGCTCTACGCGGTGATAAGACCCATGATCAGTTACGGCGCGGTAGTATGGTGGCCACTAACCAAGCTGACAACTGCAACCGACAAGCTGGACAAATTCCAAAGACTCGCCTGCATGGCGACGACCGGCTGCATGAGGACAACTCCAACTGCGGCCCTCGAAGCAATGCTGGACCTTCGACCCCTCCCACTGTTCATCAGACAGGAAGCGGCGTCAACAGCAGTGCGTCTAAACAGAGCCGGCCTTTGGAAGCACATGAGAACCCCACACACAGAAATCCTTTACAAGACTGTCAATGAGGAACCGCTACTGGAGGCGGTTGTGGATAGGATCCCAAAGCAATACATCTTTGACAAAAAACACAAGATACAATTATTTGAAGATCCCAACGAAGGACTGAACCCCAGAGAGGTCCGAGTCTTCACTGACGAATCTAAAACAAACTCAGGTACAGGTACTGGGGTATTCTCAGAAGACCTCAATATTAGGATATCAGCACCGCTTGGTGACCACAACACAGTATTCCAGGCTGAATGCATGGGCATCAAGTTGGCGGCAGAAGCAATCATAGCGAGAAGAGTAAAGAACTACTCCATTCGAATACTCTCCGACAGTATGTCAGTACTTCAAGCACTGAATAGCTATGACATAAACTCAGGGCTCATTTACGAATGCCATCAAGCACTCATGGAGGTATGTATACAAAACCACGTAACTCTTCAGTGGATTAAAGGACACAGCGGCTCACGTGGCAATGATGCAGCAGATGAACTAGCCAGAAAAGGGTCGGAGACGGACGCTGTAGGACCAGAACCGATAGTGTCCCTCCCCTGCCAATGGTCCAGAACAACTATACACAAAGGTACAAAATCTTCACATAATAATACATGGACCACCCTTACGGTTTGTAGACAGGCGAGGGAAGCACTCCCAACGCTCAATGCCAGTCTATCTCGAATACTAATTAAACTTAAAAGACAAGAGCTTCGCACTCTAACTGCCGCCCTAACGGGTCATGGTCCATACAATAAACACCTTTTCAATTTAGGTATCACAGACAGCCCTCTATGCAGAGCGTGCATGGAGGGGGAGGAAACGACTGCGCACATCCTACTCCAGTGCTCCGGCGTGGTCAACTACAGGGCAAAGTGCCTTGGAGTGCCAAGGTCGCTCCCCGAAGTCTTCAGCAAACCAAGGAGGCTGCTGAGATTCCTGGAGGAGCTTGGGTGGCACGAGTAGGACCCTGCACCCACCACACGCAAAATAGGCGCTTTGTCGTCGAGTTGCGGAAACCAGCCCGTTGCACCAAGTACCAAGTACCAAGTAGGTACAAGTAATAATAATAACGCACACACTAAACATAGCCCCGCACTAGGGAAACCCTGTGTCACGGGTGCAGTGGACACACATAGACAACCACAAATCACATCCAAATTCACGAGAGAAATAAGTGTGCAAGTGAATTTGATACTTCAATTACACATAAAATACTTACGTTCGCCAGAAACATGCATACTCGAGAATACCCTAACATCACCACCATTTTCACGTACAGAATCGACAAGTGCTACATATTCCTTACGCTGTTGTATGTCTTGACACCTACAAAAAATAATATTATTTTTGATATCTTGTTGGAAATAATCATCTCACAATTACATACTCTGACATATTGTTTGAACTTTCCTACATGCTGAACAATTAATTAATCAACATAAATGTTTTAACTGTCACATGATAATTAGTCTCACCTAAACAATTTGTCAGAGATCATAAGTGTCTCAATAGCTTGAGCCTCGTTGGCTTGTTGTACATGTTTCTTCCCATAAAATGCTTTAGCAGGCTCAAGCTGCAACATGGTATAGAAACTCTCCAATAGCTTCACCTCACTAGCCGCTTTTGTATCTGATATTTTCGCAATTACTGCTGGCTCTTGAAGAACCTCTGCAAAATAATTGTAATATTATAAAGTTAATTAAAGCAATTTGTTAAGGAAAGATGTATAATATAATGTATATGTATATAGATGATTAATGCTATTATGTAGATAATACATGTTTATTCAGTGGGGCCATCAATAAGCAACGTAACCAAAGAATGCAGTAATTCCAATAGGGGCATTATTATGATTATGTATACATAGCAAAATTAAATTATTTTTTACTATTTTTGTTTGTTTGTACTACATATTCCAGGAACTATGAACTGCAAGGAGTCACATACAAACCTTTCAAAGAGTATTTGAAACCCGATGAAGCTTTCACCAGCAAGAACTTAGCCTTATTCTCAATGAGTAGCTTATTGTCGGTCTTGATGGCCTGTTGCATCATGTATTCAAAGAATTGGTCCTTGACAAAGCCAGGTGATGCAATTATCACACACTTCACTATTTTAAAATCTATGTGTCTGAGGATACCCTGCATCACTGCATCATAGAATTTGTTGAGGCCCTAGAAATATATGAAATAAACATAATTAATGTATTAAAATATTTATTATTTTATTCAGATGAAGAAACAAATGCTATTTGTTTGGCAGTGCTAATACATATCAACAGGCATGGTGATGATTGATAATGGAAATAAATAAGAAAAATTCATTAGGGGAAAAAATACATGAACATTTTTAGACCAATTTTTTTCTTGGCAGATAAGTCATGTGCCTCATGGTAAGCTACACACCTATTCATAACAGTTGCAGTGCCACTCAGAGCTTTAAATCGCACAGATCTGAGGTGCACTGCCACTGCGCCTGTCACCCTAAGACATAAGTTGACAAGTCCCATGTGCTAGTAATTTCACCAGCACCCTTCAAAACTGGAACACAGTAATGCTGACATTACTGCTTGGCAGCAGAAATAGGTAAGGTGGCAGAACTTCCAAGGACGAACTCTTTCATAAGGAGCTCCACTGTTACATAACACATATACCTTTTCATGTTGCTGAGCAAATCCCTTCCGTTTTCTTGGAATTGTAATATCAATTTTTGATCTGACTAGAGTCATAGAAGGAGTGATAAGGCAGACATGCGCAAGCCCTTCTTGCATAACGACTGCGGCGACGTCAGCATTTGCCACAGGGTCGCAAGCCATCTCTACACGCTCTAAAGCTACAGAGTCCCATAATGCTTTTTGTAGAGTAAACTTTCTGTTCAATTCTAAATCTAGTGTGTGATATGCACCCATCTGGAAATCATCAAGTATAAACCTTTATTAACCGTTACATAAAGAAACTAAAAGATCATGAAGCAGTTTTATCATAATTTAAAAAATTATGATTTTATTCACCTTCACATATTGGTTCTCAACAATATTTCGACCTTTTAGTCGCAACATACATGCTTGCGTGTCAAAATCGATGTTTTCCACACTGATTGTAAGTGTGGTCCGCACTTTGTTGCTTGTCGAAGACCCGGTAGATGATTCAGTTTGTACTTTGCGAACTGTTGACGCTGTCACAGCATCACCTTCAGCAATCAAGTTGTAAGCATGCCACATATCCTCTGGCTCCTCGGGCATTAAAGCAATGCTCCTATAACATATAAAACAACGTAAATCAGAAATCTAAGGTCCCAAAAAATAACCAAAACATTTCAAATTTTATTACCATAAAACACTTACCCACACCCATCTTTCTCAATGCTTTTATAGAGGAGCTTCATTTCGTTATCTTTTTAAAGCAATTGTTTCATCACCTCTCAAGCATTTTGGTAAAATAGGGCAAAGAAAAACTACATTAAAAATAACACAATAAATTCAATCTGTCCACTGCTGTCCACGATAGCTGACGATAGCTAAGTTCTCGTTTAGGAATAATAAAAATAATCATTCACTTGTTCGTCCCATCACTTGTTGTTATATAAAAAAAAATACTATAAAATATTAAACGTAGCAGTGCTTTGAAACATCGAGTGATTTAAACTGTACGCGAAAAACAGAAAATATTGCTTCTAGTAAAATATTTTCATAAATTTGTGCCTCATTCCCAGATTCCCACACATCACAGACTATTAGATGCTAACGCATATTACAAGGGCAAGTGTACGTCAAGCTTGACACTATTGAAAGAAGATTGCTATTAAATCTCTTTGATATGGTTTTGTATTGTTATGGATCTTGTTATTGGATACATGAAAAAATAGGATGTCAAAGTATGGTCAAAGTGTACAATAAAAATACCTACGTCAATTGATTGAAAACATTTTTTTTTTTATTTGTTACTAATTTTTCCTGCTACATGGTAGCAAAGCGTATGAAAAGTTAAAAATCGATAAAAGCAAATAGTTGATAGTAGTCAAGCAGTCAACATGGCCACCAAACCCGAAAAGACAAGATTCAAAATCGGAAACTTAGATGGCACAACTGGTCGGTATGGGAGTACAAAATATCTATATTACTGAAGGGTATTCCAAAACTCTTAGACAAATTAGAAGGTAGATATGGTACATCAATCACAAAACCAATCAGTGAGGAGGCATCACCATCAGAAAAAGTTGGTGACATTGCTAATAAGGAGTTTCTAGAACTAGACAGCTAGATTTTAATAATTCTTACAAGCAATATGACAGAAGACAATGTCCAAAGAATTATGCGTTTCGAGTCTTCCAAAGAAGTGTGGGATGAACTCAAGAGGTTGTTTGACGAAGATGGAGATGATTTACTCCACGATAATTGCTTAAAGTTATTCGAGTACAAGAAGAAACTGAACGATAATATGGCAACCCACATTTCAAAGCTAAAGAATGTTTGGTTTAATTTAAACAAAGAGATCACAAAGCTTGAAGGAAACCATTCATTTCCGGAGGTAGTTCTGATTTGCAAGATCTTAGATACCTTACCAGAAGAATACCTTACGTTCAAATCTAGTGGGCTGTTGATGTCTAAAAAGGAAAGAACCCTATAGAGACTAGCCTCTCAACTCTGTGCCTTTGAGCGAAACAGAGACAAAAGTTATTTTTTCCACAAGCGAGAGTACCCAAGCTCTAACTGTAAAGACTTCTATAAGAAAGGAAACCGCAAGGACAACAGTAGAAAGATAAAGTGCAACTAATGTGGTCAAAAAGGACACAAAGTACGAAAATGCGCAGTGTTTGAGTGATGGACGACCACTCAAGCCAAGTTCGAATGCAAACATTGTGAAGTAATATTGATCTAATAATTGCTGACACGTGCTTATATCCTGACAGAGATAGTTGGTATATGGATAGTGGAGCTAATAGTCACGTCACGTTTAGGAGAGATTTATTCCATACGTTTGAGAAATTTGACAAGGCGCATACGGTAACAACAGCAAACGGTGAGAAAATAAATGCCACTGCTAAAGGTGACATAAAACTGGAAGCCAAAATCGGAGATCATACAGCAATCATAACCTTATGCGATGTATGGCGTGTGTGTATCGTCCCTAAAAATCGGTTCTCATTATTATCAGCACAGGACAGATTGCCAAAAAGCGTCTTCGAGTCTGAACCGGAGTTCTGTAAATTGAAAGCGAACGGCATAGTCAAAGTTACAGGTGAACGAAAAAAGAGGGGAGGCTTATTATGGAAGAGTGTAATACCACCAGTACCTATCCGTCGAAGTCAATGTGCTGTCAAGCCAAGGTTCTTCACAGCTATATCATGAGAGATTAGCACACCAAAACAAATTTCATGTAAAGAAGGTTATTGAAAGAGAACTCGGAATAAAGGTACCGAATAACACTAAGAAGTTTTGTGAAGGTTGTAGCTTCGGGAAGATGCACAGACAACCTTTCGGAATACGAATTAGATCGGATGTGCCTGGAAAAGTTATGCAGTTATGCTATATATTATAGTGTGTGGCCCATTCCCATTCTCATACAACGGACATCGTTACTTCGTTCCATTTAAAGATGATTATAGTCAGTACGGCTACCTATGTATACTTCATGAAACAGAAGTCTGAGGTCTATTCAAAGCTTGAACTGATGTTAGAAGAAAGCAAGGTAGCTGGTCATGTCTTAAGAGAACTGTTAAGTGACAACGGCAGTGAATTTAATAGCGAGAAAGTTCGATCGACACTACAAAAGTATGGCATAAAGCTATGATATGGATAACATGACCCAACCAAATCCAAGCTTAAAATTTAGCACAAAATTAGAAACGAACGGTCTCTGAAATCCGCCCCTTTCACACCATAATCATTACATATATGTAGGGACACAGTATCGAATCAAGTGTCGATACTGTACTCATGAGTAGTATCGCATAAAAAGTATCATACTCTTAAAAGTATCGCAAAAAGTATCGATACCTCAAGGTACACGATACTTTTGTCCACACGCCAGCACATCAAGCTACACATTGACGTATCTTGTTCCGTTGCATTGGAGGCGATTTTAAGGATGATAAAGACCGAATAAAACCCGTGAATTAATAAGTCTTCTAATTAATTTATGATTTAATTGAAGTAAATAATAAAAGACTTTGAAATCGATCGATTGATCAATTCAATCAATAGTTACTTAAATTTAATAATTTGTGTTATTTAAATTTCCCACTCCTTCACTGTATAATTACTTAAAAACAAAAATTTATTTGGTAACATTCTGTTTCTCGTTTTTGATACTGTATTGCCTGCTTTTGAGAACAAACGTTCCGAAGAAGGAACAAGCTTCGCCGGAATTGCGAGGTACTCAAATATAATGTTGTAACGTATGCTAGTTAATTCAAATGTTTCTAATTATTTTTCTTCATTCTCATTCTTATAAGGAGGCAAATGGTAGTATATAGTATACCGCCAAGTTTACTACACATTTGTGATGAAGGTTGTCATTTAAAAAAAATCGCAAGGTGCCTTGCGCTACGATGTGAGATGTTGTAAGTAGGAACTATTCAAAATGATACGATACTTGTCAAAAAATACTAATACCTGAAAAGTATCTAATGAAAACATTGGCTTACAATTATAAATGAAAAGTATCGAGTACAAGAGTATCGGCATCGGAATGAAAAGTAAAATACAAAAAAGTATCGATACTTTTTCCATATCACTACATATTATGTGTGTCTCTGTCTAATCCAGCAGCTAGTGACTATCAATGAAAATTCCTTTGCTTCAGAAAAAAATCTGAAAACGAGTAAAAACTTATTTTTTTCGTAAAATAACAGCATGTGTATTGTATATGTCACATTTCCTTAGTGATAATAAAAAATAAACATAACCTATGTGAAACTTTTGACATGGCGCAAGCAAAAACAAAACGTAATTCTGATGTTTTGAACGTAGACACGGGTGGTCGAGTATTGTGGTAAAATTCGATTCTCTTACGGTTTTTCGGATATTTGCTCGAGTCTTTCGGGCTAGTGTTTTGTCTGGTGATTTGGACAATATCAGAGCGTTAATTACGGTTTCAAGATGTTCTAGTTTTTGTGAGTGAAATGCTGGTGATTATATGGTTGTCAAGCTCAGCTGGTCCCGACGAGCGGTAAAAATCTCGCGAGTTTTTTCCTAGGTTACGGATAGCACTTTTTGTGCTCCAATTCCTTCAGGTATGCCGTTATTATATTTTCATGACGATTACCTAATAGGTAAGCTTTGTAATATTCCTAAAATTTATCGGTAAACTTTCCTTTAGTACACAAAAGATAATTATATTTTCTTGCTGATTAGTATACATAAATATTGGTATATGTTAATGATGAAATATTGGCCCCTTTGGGAAAATATTGTTCATCTATTTACATTAGTTCGCATTGGCCGTGATCCAGATTGCGTGTCCCCGTATTGCGCGGGAATTTGTGATATTTTTAGATTTTACACGTACGATGTTTTGAGTCGCGTCGCGTTTAAGTAACTTTTTTTTAGTAAACCGTAAACAATATACAATTCGTAGAAATAATGTTACCCTAGGGAGTGAAAATTTTCGACCCTAAAATTGTGAAAAAAAAAGTGAATCAAGAATGAGTGACCTTCAAGAAACCATACTGCCGGATGCAGCAGCAGTAGCTACAACACCGGGATCAACTCCTACGGCTATAGAAGATTCCAGCACCACAGCAACATTGGCAATTTCTTCTACAAAACCTTCAGAGCATGCAACTCCTAGACCGTCGTCTCTGCCAAAACCATCCGGCCTGAAACCTCCAACCAAGATTGGCAGACTATGTTCTAACTCTGCACCTAAGCCGGCCGTCCCCATCTCTCCAAGAACTGGTGAGTTTGCAACTTTCACTTTATCTATTGAGCTAAAAATCAAATTTATGAAAGTTAACTTGTACAATTTTATGTTAATAAGCCTAAGCCTAGTTTAACATAAAGATATTTTCAGTATAAACTAAAGTTGACTAAGGGTTTTAGCTCAGTAGATTTTTTTTAGTTATTTAAACATTAAGTAGTCGTAACATGAAACTAAATTATTTTTCGATTTTACAAACTGCAATTGACAAACTATTACAGTTCTTATTCTACTATTTTTATTTCGCTGAATTTGTGAACTTCTTTACAAACATCAAAGGACAGAGTTGGAATTCTGAACATTTGTCAATTAATGACTGATGGATTTGACTTTATCCAATGTGTGTTAATCTCATTATCTCCAATGTAGCTTATTCAGTCATGAGGTCATCAAGCACCTTACCATGAGTTCCATAGTACACAATACGGGCACATTATTGTAGAATGGATGTTATTGTAATCACTTTCTATTAAGGATGATAATATAATTAAAGACCATTTTGTTCTGCAAATTACTTACAACTCTGTATTCATTTATAGAGGTGTTACTTATGCTAGAGTAAATTTTTCAAAGATTATCTTTGCCAGTTTAGACTCAGTGTTACAACACAGTGTACTGGTTTAAGCAGATGCACTGCGATAACGCATCGCGGCATAACGACCCGTTACTGTATTAAGACACTAAAGGTCGTATTCTAGAACTCTTTTCAATGCTCAAGTCAGGATTTCACTGGCAACACAAGCACTGGAAATACGTCCCTAATGGCAGGGACTTGAGTATGATATCAAGTGCTTTAAACCATACTCAAATCCTAACTTGAGCATTGAGTAGAGTTCTAGAATACGAGCCTTATGGTCGTATTCCAGAACTGTACTCAATGCTCAAGTCAGGATTTGAGCAGACTTGAGTATGATTACAAACTCTGAAAATACGACTCTAATGGCAAGGACTTGAGTATGATTTTCATTGCTCACTGCAGTACTCAAATCAGGACTTGAGTATTGAGTAGAGTTTTGGAATACGACCCTAAGAGTCGTATTCTTTGGTTTAAAGCACTCGAAATCATACTCAAGTCCCTGCCATTAGGGTCGTATTTCCAGTGCTTGTGTTGCCAGTGCAATCCTGACTTGAGCATTGAATAGAGTTACTAGTTGTATAGAGACTAGAATACGACCCTTAGTACTTGTCCTCCAGTGTTCTAAGTGTATCCTTTTTTCATCGGTTTTGGGTGTAGTCATGCGCAATATCTCGATTGTAATGCAATAACACATTTGATTTTAAATCCCACTTTCATTTGTGTTTTTACCAAGAGAATTGTTATGAATTGTATGAACCCTAGAGTCTATTGCAAATGTAATAATAACAACTTTGGTTAATATAATAAATTCTTTGAATTATTTTTACATTGCTTAGATCATCATTGCTTATTATATCGATGAGTGCACGCGAGAGCTGTGAGGCCACTTGCGACACCAGTCCGTACGAAATGTCTTTAATGGCGTGCATTCCTCGAACATTTGGCCTTGAAGAACATTTTGATGAGAAACTTGTTTTCTAGTTTACTAATGCGTAGCGTAAGTAATAATATATACAAATATCAATTAAGTTAGGTAGTAGGTACCTACCTATACCTACATATACCTATCATAATATTTCTTGGCTAAGTGCCACAGTGTCGGTGCCGGCAATGGCATGCTTCGGAGTTTCACCTGAAACTGTCTGATGGTAGATTAGCGCCGCATTATCGGACGATCAGTGCCAATGACTATTTACCGATTTCTCATCAACGAATGATATTAACGAACGTTCGATGAATCACAGACACTATTGTGTTATTTTGTTAACTAACTGTGGTTTAATGCACATAATTAAATCAAGCTCAATCTGACCTACATTTTGAGATAGATAATCTAGCTAGGTACTCGCGTCTTACGAACCATGAAAATCGCTGTTGAACAAAAATTATCATGCTACTAGTGAGTTATAGGTATACGTAGGTAAGTAACGTATAGGTCGATCAGTCTCGGACTAGTGTTCACTACCCAATTTACATGGTAATTTTTATTATTTAAGTAAGTATTAAATTTTTTATCGTGCAATATTATTTAATATTCGAGTACTGTATCGTGAAATATTATTGAATAATTACACGAAAATGTACTCGAATGTTTAAATAATGAAAATTGCCACGGAAATTAGCGTAGTGAACATTTGTTCGTGAACGATCGAGGTGTATATACGTTATGATTCAAAAAACTTTATATTAATCTAATCTTGATTTAAGCTTGAATGGCAGCGTTAAGATAATGGATTGCGTGATTAATCTGTAGTTAACTAGCTGCGTTATTAATTTGTTAGAAAATTGTGTAACAGTTGAACACAAAAGTCTGTCACAAATAATCTGATATGTATTGTAGTCTTCCTATCTTATTCAGCTAAACGAGAGATCTAGGCGTGAGTTTACACGTAGTACACATGTCAGATAAAGATAAATTTTGATAACATTACATTTTGACTCTATACAAAACATTTCGGCCGTGTCACGTACTACCACGTGTTTCATTTGTTGTTTTTAAACGTCCAACAGTTAATTGTTCCATTTTAAAGGCTCTGTTTATTGTTTTTATGACGGCAAAAAGTAAAATCCTGTTATAATTATAGCAGCATACAACAATAACCAGTTCCAAAAACGACCTTGAGTTTCAAGAATCGGTACAATATATTAGAAATGCCGTTACTTTGATTACAGCTCCAACCACGAGGAAATGGTCTTCGTAAATTGAGATGAATGTGGAACTTTACTATTGAGCTCGTACATTTACTTTAATTTACACTTAATTTTAGTCGTGTGTAGTTTACACCAACTAAATTTGTAATGAGATAAAGAATCAAACAAATGTAATTACGTCCAATATTCAATAATGCGATCATGGATTCTATATACCTACATCGCACTGCTATTACAATAGTGTTGTAAGTCAAAAAATGTAAAATTTAACTACACGTCAAAAAAACCGTCGTTAGAATATTGTAAGAAACAATCAAAAGCTACCTATCTATTTAACTCAAAATGAGATACACTTTATGTGAGCTAGTTCTGGCCAAAATAATCCTTATTCAAAAATATGAAAATATTTTTCCCATTTTATTTTTAAATACATTTGGGAAATTGTTTAAGTGTCTATAATAAACTATAATATATACATAAATTTTAATGATTTTTTGCGCGAAGTAATTCGTTTTTCATCGATTCTGAAAAAGTCTACTTTTTTAGTTAATATACACTATTGTATTAACAATGCGACATGTATTTAAAAGACAAATCAAAATTTCGAAAGTTAAGTAATTACTTATCAAAATTAAAAAAAAATATATTGACAATCGAGATAACGATTATGGCGTTACGAACAAAAAAAAGGACTTCTTATTTATTTTATTTTTACCGTCGTTGTAAAACTTTAAGATGAATTGTCTGATCGTGTTTTATTCTGACTAAGGCCTTCACGTTGTCACCCATTGTTTCTGTTATCATATCACTTTCTCCGAGCTGCGCAGACCCAGGCGTTTTTCGTCACGCTCACTCCGTCCATTAGGGCTTTAACAACGCTTCCAAATGAAAAGCAATTCAAACTGTTTTTTAATGTTGGTATGATATTAGACGTTTTACAAATTACAACTCATCGTCATAATTGATTTTGATCCCTGTCGTTAGATAATTCTAAAACCACTACATAAATTCCTTCGTTTAAAAACTATTTGTCTAGCAAACTAGCATCCGGCTTCTAGGTGTCTAAAAAAAACTTCGCTGCAAAACTACAGGAACGGCATCCGCATTAGATCATTTCCTTTATTTTTTTAAGAGATATGACCATGGCTGTCAAATATAGTTTAGAACTAACATCTTAATCTGTTATCATTTAACTGTTTCGATCACCTTCAAAGATTACTTATTATCTTTTATTCTTATTGTCTTTATTATTAGAAATTACTTATTGACTAAGCAATATGCAGTAATTATCTAATCCACGTGAATCGCAGCAATAGTGACGTAGGCACGCAAAATGACCGGTTTTTACTACCTACTTATGTTATATACCGCGTCATCGTGAACTTTGATAAAAAAATCCTAGCACCGAATTTTTTAAACAAAAGTCGTATAGAACAGACAGCTTACAATCTCAAATAATTCGTAGTGAAAAGTTGATAGTGTATGACTTGGACGTTCAGCAACGCTTTCTACTGGCCTTTGTTCCGCCGTCCATTAATTCTCATGAGTGACGTTTCAGTGTCAGATCGCATTTACGACGCTACTGATGCGCGTGGAGCGAATTTTAAGTTTTTATAACAAATTTCCTTACTATGACCCCGTACCGCAGGGACTTAAGTATATTCTCATGTTGAAGAGTTCATCTAGTACGAGCGTTCGCTTGTTTGCGGTTGTACGGCCGCTATTAGGAACATACGTAATTTCCACCTAATTTCGCCTTAGAACTTTGTGATTTCAAGCTCTGAGTGACACTACTGCTATGGGTGCGTGTGTCGCTTACCACCAAGCGCACAACTTGTTCGCCCCAACACTTGATATCATAAAAAAAAGAAAAAAATAGGTACTTAATATAAATAGTTTGTATTAAGTTAGTTTTAATCGTGTTAACATTAGATGAATTACTTTATGTTAGTGCATAATGCACTCGACTTCATTGATAATGGTTGCGTGTGCAGCCCACCAATGGTTTGCAGAATTGCATTGAATTCAAATGCTAAACCCGAACCTATAACTACAACTGGTCGACCTTCACCGCGAACATTCTACAATCGAACGTTTTAGTTTCGCATGATCTTTTCACGAAATGTCAATTAGATACCGTAGTATCGTACCTTATACGATTTGGAATAAAATACATATGAAATAAATACGACACAATGGGAACGCGTCCTGAGGTGAAATTGTAACGTAGTATATAGTAATATTCAAAAG